AAAGTTTAAAAAAAATAGTAGAAATCTTTGAAAATTTTTTTGAGAGTATCGAGTTGTTCTGAGTTGCGTTTCTTATAGTACTTGACGAGTTCTATCGCAAACTGTAAGGTGAAAAAGTGATTGGACCAACGGTTTGCAAGATACAGCGACATTTGTTGGAAGATCAACAATTTTTAAAGTGAGTATATCTCGGAAACCGTTGGTTCAATCGCTTTGAGCCCTGATATTTTTCGATAGAACTTGCCGAGAACTGTCCAGAACTCCGAACAGAACTACTCGGTACTCCCAAAAAATTTTCCGACGTGGGACTTGGAAAAAAATTTTTGATCAAAATTTTTTGGGAGTACCGAGTAGTTCTGATCGGAATTCTGGACGGTCCTCGACGAGTTCTGTCGAAAAGTATCAGGGTTCAAAGCGATTGGACCAACGGTTTATACTTATTTAAAAATTGTATGATTTTACAAATGTTTCAACTCCCGGAGGGATCTTCATGGAGATTTATGTGTGAAGGCCTTTCCTTTTTAAAAGTGATAAGTTACAGTGTTACTCATTACCGAGTAAAAAAAAAGTAATAAAGTACCGTTACAGTTACTCGAAAAAGTAACTTTCGGTTACTTTTTTAAAATCAGTTTAAAAATGTACTTTTCCAATATTTTTTGTTCAAATGTAGTAAAAGCAATCAAGAAACACGATAGTGTCTCGCGCCAAGTGAACGCGAAGCGAGATCGCACCGTATATTTACGCGAGTCGGTGAATTCCGGAGCACCCGAGATTTCGGTCTCACAATAAATGACTGAATTAATCGACTTCTCAGTATTCTCAATTTACTCAGAAGTTTGAATTTTATAATAAATTTGTTTTTTATGGTCTACATATCCTACGAATGGAGATATGAAGTCCGAATTGTCAAATTTTGATGTCAGATGCTTCATCATTATCATCATTATCGCCATCAGAAATATTGTCTGTTTCACATTTTAAACGTCACATGACACTCGTTATCTTATTTTATATCGATGTAACACTATAAATCTTTACCATACGAGATAAATGAACATTATAGTTACGAATTTATTTTAAGTTGAATAATGAAATAAATATATGATGAAATTTTAAGGTTTCAACAAATCTCAAATGTTTTACACACATATTTAAATGTTTTATATTTCAAACGTTTTATATATTTTGCTTTGATGCCGATAGAGTTTCAAGACAAAACCCAATAACCACGTCTACTATCACTTTGCATGCAATGGATATTATAACATCGCAAATGCTATACATCAGGAATCAAACGTATATTACCGTAATTAATTTGACAAATGTAATGTTACAACGTGTAAGGCTGTATCACTGCAGTAAAACCGCGGCAGTAGAGCAGTTATCGATCGGTAGTACCTGTCTGTAGTCCGCGAATTAGTCTCGTAGCTGATCGATCGCATAAGAGTTCCTAATAGTTTCATTTATGGTTATGATAACCACAAGTTGAAGTATTTCTAAACGTCAAATATCGTTTACCACGAGGAATTTAACGGAAGTAGAAAATAAATATAAGTATTCATATTAAACATCGTAAAAGCAAATCCTGTTTAAAGTAAATCTCATTTAAAGAGTTATTTTTTGTTGCTCCCTCTCAAATATGATATTAAATTAAATATGAATGCAATAAGAGTTTAACATCGGATATATAAATGACATATTTATTTTTGAACATAGCTGAGACAATAAAGAGAACACAAAATAAAAAGTAGGAATATTATATAATAATTGAAATGAGATTAAAAAAGACAAATTTAGCAAAATCAAACCACCTTCATTTCTTAATGGAACAAAATCAAAACTAATAAAATAATATAACCCAACAGTTAAAACGGAATTATTGCATGATAATGTATTTCCATTTCTATTACCTGGTAAATCCATCACCCGTGTGAAGCTGGCTCCCCAATATTAAGAAATCGATTTTTTTCTTCTAGCATTCGTTTGATCATCGCTTGCTCACGTAAAAGTAACTTTCGGTTACTTTTTTAAAATCAGTTTAAAAATGTACTTTTCCAATATTTTTTGTTCAAATGTAGTAAAAGCAATCAAGAAACACGATAGTGTCTCGCGCCAAGTGAACGCGAAGCGAGATCGCACCGTATATTTACGCGAGTCGGTGAATTCCGGAGCACCCGATATTTAATCTTAATTTTTTAACTGCGTCATTTTTCTACCTAAATCTTAACACATCTACTTTTCCCGGATTTCCTCTAAACGTTGTGTAAAAAATAACGACGTGAAAGAATAGAAATAGATATTGAAGATATTCCACATACTTCAATAATATGCGAACTTGAAATTAATTTTTATGTCAAATATATCGATATTAATTTCGTTTTTCATTAAATTTTCTATCACGCATAATATAATTTTGTTAATAATAACCGCTTGTATAACGCGTTATCTTTCTTTACATACATATTTTTATTAATTTCAAAACTTTGTCCAGCAAAGTTGACATTGTCAAAATGTTAATTTTTGATGAATGTTTTTATTACACTGTTATATTATGTATCTACATTGATGCATTGTGTTTAATCATTGTCTTGGTGATAATTGTTATTTTCATCATAAAATTTAATCTCATATCTAATCACACCAATTTTGATATCTTTACCGCATTCCGGGATATTATTTTAACAAATAAACAAGTTTATTTGCACAGAATCATATAGTTTATAAAAACAAGTATCGAAAATAAGATTATTTCAAGTATCAGAAGTAAAACAAGTATCGAAAATAAGATTATTTCAAGTATCAGAAGTATCAAAGTAAAGTATTTAGTGTGTGTGTATATATATGTATATATATATAAAATATTTAATTTTAATTCTATTGTGGATATGATTAAATATAAATTAAAAAAATGTTTCCTACGACAATGTTTCTTATTAAAAATTTACGATGTATCTTACTGATTACTGACATTATATGACGTCATTATAGATATCAAATATTATAGATATGATATATCTCGCCAATTATCAATAAATTTTTGTAATCTCACCGGAAACATAAATATATACAATATATATAATATCATCTTTGTTTTGCAGAAATTTCTCGGAATATTATCTCAGATTGGTAGCATATATATATATTTAATATATATTATGAATATTAATTTAATATAATAATTAAAACACTTTTGTATTAAATGGATATATGGATGTCTCACACAACATTTTTTTTAAAAACGTATTTTTGAAATAATATTATGACGAGAATCTTAATACAAAAATATCGAGGCTATAACAGTGCTTAAATTAATCGCAATTAAATTTCGCTAATTACACAGCTGACATTTTGCGTGCTTAGGCATGACGATATGATAAGTGATGAAAGTGTACCACGAGGGCCCCCTTAACATGCAATATTTTTCAGAAGGTTGTTTCTGTTTCTAAAACCAATTTGTACATTTTTAATTATACACACAAATACATATTTAATATGCATAATTAATATCGGAATAGTATGCTATCATATATACTATTATATATACTATATTATTATACTGTTATATATTACTGTAGTATAGTATTCTAATATTATATAATATAGTAATAATTTTTACATGAACGAAATCTCTATATTTTGTTTTAAATTTTGTTTTAAGAAATGGATTTCTTTCACGCGTTTCAGAAAATTGACTTCAATAGAAAAATTAAATCTGGAGGCAATCAGAAGATCTTTAATGAAAAATGAATATATTTAAAGCATGACATTCTGTGTACATATTTCAACATAATCTCTACATTCTAATTATTCAATTTTCTCTCGTTTTGAGAGACACTGCTTTAGTTGTTATACCATTAATGACTTCTTATCTTGAAAGAATTAGATAAAACACAGATACATATTTCGCGATTAGACATATATTAATATAACGTCACATAATTCGCGCAGTTGTGTATTCATTAGTTATGTAGACGAAACCCTATTTGATTGTAATTATATAACGAGGCTATAAAAGAGGAAAGACTCGTTTATTTTACCACAGTAGATCACAAAGCAAGTGTCCGGACAGTATCCAAACATAAACATTCGGTCCGACGAGTTAGTAAGTACAAATATATAGAAATAATTTAATTGCTATGATAGTTATCATTTTGTAAACTTTATAATAATACACTAACAAAAATTAAAATAATTAAATGAAGTGGTTACTATATTTCGAGGTGTCTGAAAATATAGGTAATACAGATAGATATTAGAATAATGATAGAAAAAATGACAGGTATCTTGTAACATTTTAGAGATAATTTATATTACTGTTCAAAAATTTCATATTCTCTATTTATGAATTTTCAGTTATATAATATAAAAATTATGTATAATTATAAATTTTAATATATTATTTCATATATTATTTCCACAATAAATCTTAAAATTTAATGGACATTAATTCTTTCAAAGAAGTGTTAGATGGATGCGATTTTTAAAATTAATTACACATAAAAACACATAATGTATAACTAATTGTAAGTCTAAGAATCAATTATGTAGTAATCTTACTTCTCTAATTTACTTTTTATTTATTGAAGAAGACCTTAGATGTGAATTGAAAAAAACGTCTATTTAATTGTATCAAACTAAATACCGATAAGAACATTCCATAACGGTCAAACTGGATCTTGGATATTTCTAATATATAATTTCGTGTGAATTTATATACTTGTTAATTAATGAAATGCAAAATGATAAAAAATTTTTTTACTCATTGTCAGTTCACTCTATATGTACAAGAGCGCTTTAACAAATATCTCATATGCCTTTTATTAAAAAAATGTTTCAGATAGAAATTTTAGAGTTTTAACGGCACATTAAATAATAATATTATTATGACCATTATGACACTTCATTTGGAGAATAACAGTCTATACAAATATTATTACTGATATTTATTTATATTTATCGCACAAGTAATTTTTTATAATTCATATTTAGCTCTAACAAAAATGAAGAGTATAATATCGCTTTGTGCGATATTATTATTGTCTAATCCCGGGTATAGTGAATCTACTCCAAAATGGTGGCAATCGATGTCCCTTTATCAAATTTATCCTAGAAGTTTCAAGGATAGTGATGGTAACGGTATCGGAGATCTTAAAGGTATTTAAAAAAATTATTTTTCTATTTGTGTGAAGTAAAATCCTAGAAGAAATTATTCTATTTTCATAAAAAGAGGGAGAAGCGAGGAAGCAAGGAAGGGAGAAAGGGAAGGGGGGGAGAAAGAGAGAGAGAGAGAGCAGTATACTTTGTATATAATTATATATAATAAAAATATATCGTTTTAAATAATAAAATAGTATAGTAGCATTATAAAGAATAAATAATAGTGAATAAATTATCGTTTTCGTATCATTTTATTAAGATTTCGTTATTACAGTAATATGATTTTATAGGTATTTAGAAATGTAGATGTTTTGAAAAGAAGTTTAGATGTTGAGGTATTTTATATAAATTTATAAATTTAGAGTTTTATTAAATAATTCTTTATCAAAATGCATATAGAATCGGTTAAAAAAGAATCTTCAATCCTTGCACCTTTCAAATAGTTTGAAATAGATTTATTAAATTTTTTAAATTGTTCATATTCTTTTAATACATTATAATTGTATAACTTAATAATTTGATTGATTACATATCTACTTTTAAAATTAAACGTTATTGTATCTATTTACTTACACACTAAAAAAATAGCAGAAAAATGTTTCGTGAAAGGAATTGGCAGATTTTTTTACATACAGGTGTCATGAGCAAACTGGAACATCTCGTTGAGTCAAATGTCGATGCTTTTTGGTTATCTCCGATTTATCCTAGCCCGATGGTTGATTTCGGTTACGATATTTCCGATTTTGTCAATATCGAAGAAGTGTTTGGAACTATGAAGGATTTTGAGACACTAGTAGAAGCCACGCATAATGCGTCAATGAAGATTATCATGGACTTTGTTCCTAATCATTCATCGGACCAGCACGAATGGTTCCAAAAAAGTTTACAAAAGATAGAACCTTACACCAACTATTACGTATGGCATGAAGGCAAAAAGTTACCGGACGGAACAATTACAGTGCCGAATAATTGGGTAAGTAATTAGGTAACTCGAAGCTACATGTAACATGACTGAGGAGACAGCCTAAACTGACGAGGCGAGAGATGTGAATGGCCGTTGCTAAAGTCGATAAATTAATCCAAGGCTGAATACGCGAGCGCAAATACGATGTTCAAATTTCAAGTATCCTCCTTTCATGCTCTCTGAATGAAATTAAGCGTAGCTTTTGTTATTAATTTCCTATTTCGCAGTGTAATATAGACAATGATTAAAGGGATCCTAAAGCAAAGCTCGAACTCTAACGAAATCGCCAGATATCGCTATTTTACAACACATTGACATATCATTTATATACTATCACACTAATATCTCACACAGACAGTGATGTACGCAGCCGCATTACGACGTGTCAATTTTCGTATCGTAGATTCGTCGCGATAAAATGTATAAGTTTAATTCTAAGCACTCACTGTTTGTTCATGCAAACTATGTAACTGTGGACTACTATTTATTAAGTATAGATTGTGCAGCTTTTATATGAAACAAATGTTGTTACGACGTGACAGCTCTGGAGTGCCATATTGGGCAAAAAAATAATAAAGAAGAACTCAATTTTGAAATTTTTTATCATTTTCAGCGTAGATTCTACCTCATAGGCACGTATTGATGCATATACTTTAACCCTATAAAAAGATTTTCGAATCTGTGAATAACAAAAAAGTATTTACGATACAAAATGTAAATTTTTTAGTCGGTAATACAGACCACTTTAGGATCCTTAAGGATACTGGAGTTACCGACGGCACACTCATTTCGTATTTCTCAGTTTTTGCAGTATTTCAGTAGTTTGCATGAAGAAACAACGTGAAGTTCTGAGATGTCTTTTAAAATATTATTGTTGTACAAAAATTTATGTGTATGTGCGTGAGATATTGATGTATTACGTAGTATTTTGTACGTAGTGATGCGTCAGTATATAGTATTAAGAGATTTTTATTATAATTATCAAACTAACGTCTAGATATATACAATTAATGCAATACAATAAATTATCTTCAATTAAGATTAAATGTCGATTCAATTGCAATAACAAAGGCAAGCGGATTTAAATTAATACAATGCGTAACTTCTGAAAAACTTATACTTCATCCCCATTGCGACATATCGAAGATACTGACGACCCATCCATCATCGTAATTACAAGTTTTGTATGCGTGAAATGATTCGTCCATTGCAACATCATCAATATCATATATAACGTCACACGGTGCAACATGAAATAGTATATTCAAATATTTACTTGCAATATGAAATAATACATTCAAACTGAACAACTCTGCTATATTCTAGATAGCACAAACGCATTGTTCTTTTGAATATCCTGGTGTATTATACTTGAGATTTTGTATCTGTAAAATCTTTTTAATGCATAACATACACGTATAATAAAATAATTGTGCGATTATTTGCACGCATAGGTAAGCGTGTTCGGTGGACCAGCATGGACCTGGCGTGAAGAACGTCAAGCGTATTATTTTCATCAATTCGCAAAACAACAGCCTGATCTCAACTATGAAAATGAGGATGTAGTAAATGCAATGAAGGTACGTACAAAGTAATAATTATGATGACGTTTAGATCAATATTACATGTCAAATTATTTTGACAGACTAATTGTCTAATATTAAATTATGTTTCATTAGTATAAATATATTTTGCGAAAAATATTGATAACCTTATAGGTCTTATAACAAGAATATATGCTAGAACCGCTGTGACTTTTCGCTTATTTATTATTATAATCTTGTCAGTTAGATTAATTTCGTATTTAATAATGTAGAGACAAAATTCGATAAGTGGCCCAATTGCAACTATATGTAAAAAAAATTATCATTAATGAAATATCCATGGTTCTCGCACGATCAGAACTTATGTTAGATTAAAACCGATATCGGATTATCTTATTATCTCGTTGTCTTGGGGATTCACGACAGCAAAACTTGCGTAAGGGCAACGGATTACAACATGTCGTCGATGTCACGAAGGGTGAAAATAAATCCGACCAGTATATATCATGCAAGGACATCGTTTTTCCCATCATCGTCGTGTGTGCGACAAATTTTCCGTTCATCATTGCGCTGCGAAACAAAAAGCAAACACATCGTTCTGTTTTTTTTCCGCTCTTTCAGCAATTTGTTTGAAATTGACATTTTAGAAAAATAATAATCGCGATAAAAATCAATCGACGGTACGATGTATTATACGTAATCATATTTATCTATTTCGTATACAAAGTTGCATTCTTCTACACCAAAAGTAATTAATTCACACATAAATCAAGACAAAAGAAATTGAAATATACATAAAATAAACAGCAAATGTTTTCTTCGATCACGTTGTCGTGTTGATTGACAAACGGATGCAATTAACTGCTCGTTGCACGAACGCGATGAGCGTAAAATTATGTTTGCGGAAGGAATCAAGAAGCAGGTGTACAATTTGTCAATTTTTCAAAGATCACACTTAAAATATCATTCATATATGCCACACTAACACGATTTAATGAGGAAAATAATCGATAATAACGGTCCAACTATAGTGACAAATAAATAGCGGGCGTAAAGCGAGATAATTACGATCAATTCAATAAACAAAAATTCCCCGAGCTGGAATAACAACTTTTGAACAAATTATTTGCTTAACATCGTACTTAATTAAAGGTCAAGCTTTTCCATGGTCGTTATAATATGTTTCCTCTTCTTTTTATGTTACAGTCTATAGAGAATTAGTAGAATTATAATACATGAAAGTTTTGTGAACATTCATATTCTACGATCAAATCCTTTGCGCGTAATTTGAGAAACAATGAAATGGTGAAATATCTAGCCGCGTAATATCGAAAGTTATAAAGCACACGTAATAAAATCTGGATTGAAACAATCTATCCTGTAGTGAATAGAGCAGCAAGCTCGCGTGACGCAACACAATCTATACGAGGGCAAGTCAATAAGTTTTTAGAACAACATGGTAAAGCACATTTTTTTGATCGATTAATTTTTATTTCTCAACATATATGACTATAGTCTCCTTTCAGTTCGATACACAACATTGATCCAACGATTCTCCAACTTTTTCGAGCCGTCCGAATAATGATTTGTCCAATCCTTCAAAATAAGCCTCTGTTTCGGCGATGAGCTGCTCTCTCTGGTGGTGATCTCTTTCCTCCGAACCATTTCTTCAGGTTTGGAAACAGGAAATAGTCGCAGAGAGAGAGCTAAATCTGGCGAATATGCTGGATGGGGAAGCAATTTGTAGCGGAAATTGTTGAATTTGGCCATCGGTGCCGGGCACGTGTAAACCCGTGCATTGTCTTGATGGAAGAGCACTTTCTTCTTTCAAATGGGGACGTTTTTTCTTTAAAATGTTGTTGAAACGGTCCAATAAGCCTGCGTAGTAATCGCCATTGATCGTTTGCTGACGGAAGGTAATCGATATGAATTATACCGCGTGCATCCCAAAAAACTGTGGCCATCACCTTTCCGGGCGACTTCACGGTATTCGCCTTCTTCGGAGCTGGTTCACCCGGTGAAGTCCATTGCTTTGACTGTTCCTTCGTCTCGAGTGTGAAGTAATGGATCCATGTTTCATCCACAGTAATGAATCGACGCAGAATTACGCAGGATTACGTTGAAACATCTCCGAACATTGTTTTGAAATCGTCACACACGATCGCGCTTTGATCCACAGTGAACAAACGCGGCACTCATCTAGCCGATAGCTTTTTCATACAATTGTTCGTGCAAAATTGAAATCACTGTGCCATGTGATATGCCTGTGATGTCAACAAGCTCGCGCACTTTCACTCGTCGATCAGTCAAAACAATATCGTGGACTTTATCGATGATCTCATAGCCTCAATTTGGACGTCCCAAACGGGGTGCATCACATATGTAGATGTACGACCACGTTTAGAATTCATTCACCCAATTGTATACAGTCGCAAACGCTGATGCAGATGTGCTATGAACATTATCCAACTTGGCTTTGATTTCTTTAAACCTTTCGTATGTAGATGTTTTATCACTGCCACGAAACTCGTTTTTTTCCATTTTGCAAAAAATAAAAAGTTGTTCGCTTTAATCGTCTACAGAAATGAAACCTCTCAATAAATTCCGCTTAAAATTTGACAGTAATTAGTTGAAAGATGCTACTTGTCAAAAAGTAATGTGACATGACACTGCGAGTGCCCTCTGACAGATTTTCTAAGAACTTATTGACTTGCCTTCGTATCATTTTTGTATTTGGCTCTAAAAACTCGACGAAACAAATATCTTTCGTTTGTTTTATTTTATAGTTACAAAAACCTTTTTTTTCTCATTGCGTATTCATTAAATTAGAACAGTATGTAACAAAAATCTTTTTGTCATTGTGTATTTCGTTGCTCGTGTCCGACAGATTTTATTCAATTTCTTTTCTTCTATTTCACCAAACTATTTCACAAGATACTTCTTTTTATCATTCCTGCAAATCCCTTATGACATATAAAATTTTCTCAGAGCGTGCCACATTCATAATGTATTCCCTTTAATTTTGGTTCTATTACCGATATACTAATCAGGTTTCCAAAGTAATTGATTTTAAGAGATTAATTGATAGATGGATGGTAAACATGTCTATTACAACTATTATTTCAAGCGAGTGTGCCTCTTTCTCTTGAGGAAGATATAGTCTAGTAATATTTTAATCTATATTTGAAGATACATATAGTAGATCAAGTAGATGTAATAGTTGCTGTACTTAAGCACGTATAGGTACATATATATATATATATATATATTGTGCTCTCTACTCCTGCCCTCAGAATGTCATGAGATTTTGGCTCGACAAGGGGGTGGATGGCTTCCGGGTAGATGCGGTGCCACATTTATGTGAGGACGTCAGATTATTGGACGAACCACTCACGGGTAATCCAAATCCTGATGACTACGGTTACACAGACAAAATATACACGAAAGACATTCCGCATACCTACGACATAGTCAAAGGATGGCGAGAAGTGCTGGACGAATATTCAGATGAAAAAATTATGATGATCGAGGCTTACTCGAATATGACGATGACGATGAGGTATTATGTATACGGCGCAAACTTTCCCTTCAATTTTGGTTTCATTACCGATACAAATCAGGATTCCAAAGCAATTGATTTCAAGAGATTAATTGACAGATGGATGGTAAACATGCCTATTTTGAAAGCAACTGCTAACTGGGTGGTAAGTCGAATAAAAGAAACTTGTCTATCGAATCTTGTAGAAGAAATCAATCTTTAAATATCTCCACTTTATTAAAAATTTAATATATAAAATAATAAGGCTCAACAAAATTTAAAATATCAAACAAGGAAAGGGCAACGAACCCAAGATAAAAAGACGTTAGTAAAATATAATAATATATTAATTGTTAGCAAACAAAACAAAACAAACAAACGTTTCGATCCCCATCGAATCATCAATGTTAGATGAATTTAAATGTTTGGTAACAGTAAAATTAAGTATAATGTCAATATAATAATAAAAAAAAATATAAAAAAAATTAATAACGATAAGAAAAGAGTTGTTGCTCGAAATGTTTAAATTTATATTGATGTTTAAAACCAGTGTGATGAGAGTGAAGTTGGAGTTTATTCTCAGTGATGTTTAGAGACAATATGATCAATATTGTTTCTAAACATCACTATAGGGACGAAACGTTTGTTTGTTTTGTTTTGTTTGCTAGCAATGAATGTATTATTATGTTTTACTAACGTCTTTTTATCTAGTAATCCTAGTTGCTCTTTCCTTATTTGATATATATTTTTAAAAATTTAATATTTTTAACATATTATAGATACTAATAATAAATATACAATATACCTTTTTTTTTAAATACTGTACAATTCGAGATACGCTATTATGTATAAACGTCTTGAGCTCTATTCTTAAAATTAGTAATAAATTAAATTGATAATATAATTCATATAATTATACTCTCCTTTTATATAGGCAGGAAATCATGACAAACCGCGATTAGTCACTCGTTACGGACGATATCGAGCGGAAGCAATGACCATAATAACTCTATTGCTTCCTGGAGTGGCTGTAACTTATAATGGGGATGAAATCGGCATGGAGGATACGAGGATCTCATGGGAAGACACCAAAGATCCACAAGGTTGCAATGCCGGTAAAGATGGTTACGAGAAAGCATCTCGAGATCCCGCAAGAACGCCGTTCCAATGGGACAACACCACTTCAGCTGGTATACAAGTTTATTTAAGTAACTTCTAAAATCATTATGTCAAACTATCAGTTAAACTCTCATTGAAACACAATTTAAATTGATTATTATTTGCAGTAATAACTACGAAAATTCACGGAGACTGCAGTTGATAAATAGAAACTAATTGTAAGCTGATAGCAAAATTTGAAAAATTACCTTTCGCTGGTTCAAATAATAAAATATTTGAATCATTAATAAAAAATGTGTTGCTCATCATTTTGTAAATTTATTAATAATATTAAAGTAGAAGAATATTTAGAACGTTATTATTTGTTTTAAAACTTGAATATTGACGAAGTTAAATAGCAATTTAATTATGTTTTCGAAAACATTTCTTCTAAAAAAAAAAATCGATTGATGATTGACCTGTTAATAAATAAGCGAGAAATTCCATTAAATAACGGATTATTGTTGTAAAACTGGTTCATATCAAACGCGCGAAGTATGTCATTTTAATATCAGTCTCATGTCATGACCGACATATTAAGAATCAACGCGACATGTTCATTAGGTCACGCGTCATATTTTGAGATTATGAAAAGAAAGTGGGTGAAAAATTCGAGATGAAACAGATTGCTTACAATCGAACGTATTACAACATATTATCGCTGTCAGTTGTAACTTATCATTTGCAGCGACATAATCTTGAAAAGGCAATACATTTGAAAAACTATAATATCATATCACATGCAATATTGAAATCATAATTGAACTCAAACGTGATATACATATAATTATAGAATTTCTTTATATTAAAGAAATCTAATTTGTGTTTATAATTTCAGGATTTTCCACAAGTGAGACAACCTGGTTACCGGTGAACGAGAATTACTTAACGCTTAATTTAGCCACACAAAAAGAACAGGACAACTCTTACAATGCTCTGTATAAAGCAGTTTCTGCTCTGCGAAAATTGCCTGTAATTAAACGTGGAACCTTAACCACGACATTATTGAATGATGATGTTTTCGCTTTTACCAGGTACAATAAATATTTAATCATAAAATATAATAAAAAAACATGTAGTCCTCTAATAATATTGTTTTTTAGAAATTTAAAAATATATTTCATTTTTTTATGTACCAGTAGAATATATGTATCTATATATTATTACAGGAAAGTTGATGGAGACGTAGTTTACGTAGTGGCAAACTTTGCAAATAAAGAAGAAACCGTTGATTTATCAACGCTTGTTTATGCATCAAGTCAATTAAACGTTTATTATGCCACTACTAATGCTCATCATCTTATTGGGTAAGTACTTTTTCATACATAGTATAGCAATTACACACTGTTATAAAATAAAATACATGTTATATATAGATATAATATAAAACTAAAGGCCTTCTTCACTAACTCCGATTAACGCAAATTGATGGTTAACTTAATTATCACGATTGCTAGTGTAAGAACCAAGTTTGTCTCGAAAGAGGGAGAGAGAGGAGGTTCTTATACATTAAACTGCTGTTGGCACTTTTGTGAGTTAATCGTTAATTAATTTAATCAGAAATTGATGAAAGAGGCCTTAAAGCGTAAGAGAGAGGCGTTATATGAATTATTTCTTTATCTCAAACGTGTACTTACATTTTTACATCTTTTCAAATATAGAAACATCGTCAAAGATGTTCACACCGTAAAAATTCCTGCATCAGGAGCTATAATATATACTAGCACCATTGCACCATATAATAGCAAGTAGAAAGCCATATTCGAACGAGGCAACATATTTTTTCAACCTAATTATATTTATATTATTACGCTAAATAAACGAAGACATAATTATACGTTAAAATAATTATATTTCTAATCTCTTACATACTTTGCCGTTTTCGATGTTCTATATTTGTCTTATTAATCAGATTTGTTTCCAAAAAATACTATAGATAATAACATACAAATAACACATGATATAACAATGAAGTAGTAAAATAAATAATAAATTATTATAATATAAATTAAGACATACTAATGTTAAATATTTCAAGTAATGTAAATTTTAGTTATCATATTTTTACGTATGTACATATTTATATAATATTACATTTCTATATATATAAATTTTTTTGTCATGATTTATAATGTATGTAATAAAATAAATAAATAAGATAAAGTTTTAAAAAGTTATAGTTATTACCATATATTGTATATCCTCTAAATATATCATTACTTATATCGCGTAATACGGGCTATGTTTATTTTTGCATGCATTTATACCTTACAGGCCTACAAGAAACCATTACCTAAATTTTAAAGCCACGAGAAATTGATCAAACACAGTCGAATGAATCTGACTATATTCAAGAAATCCTGATAAGATACAATATGGAGAACTGTAAACCAGTGAAGACGCCGTTAGATGTGAATCAAAGACTAGTCAAGAATATGGAGATAAACAATGACAGCGATTTAAATAATGTCAAAAACGTATACTATAAGAAAGCTTTAGGTAGCTTGATATGTATTTACCGGGTAACACGTCCAAATTTAGGTTCGGCAATGATGACTTTAAGTACATTTGCAGAAAAATCGAGTAAAGCGCATTGGAATACATTGAAGTGTACCTTAAGGTATTCGAAAGGGACCAAAGATTATAAGTTAAGGTTTAATGGATTAGATAATATGAGATTAATAGGTTATAGTGATGTCAATTGGACTGGTGATATAGATAGTCATCGATCAATAAGTGGCTATATGTTCTTACTTGGTGATAGTGAAGAATTAATTTGTACACCTAATATATTTCTACCAAAAGCGGTGACTAGAGATAAAAATAATTTCCGTAATGACGGTATGAATTTATGTGAGTAAATTATTAAACATTTATTATTTGTTTTCAATTAGTATCTCAATAAGCTAAGATCAACAATTAATAAATACGAATATATTCAATTAACAAAAAAGTAGATTATCGAAAAATGTTTTTTTCAAAGTGATCAGAAGTGTGAGGATTTGATTATGTTTCAATGAATATCATCTATAATTATCTATATGTCATTGATAATTTTGTATAATAAATAAAAGATAAATAAACAATATATCGTGAGCAAGAGATTATCGTACGATATGAAATTTTCAAGTGCATACACGTGCGATATGACGAAATCATATCGCACGTGTATGCAATATTAATTACACTTTGTTAAGTGTAATTAAGAGATATTTTTCTTTTTCCCTAATATAATTAAATTTCAATATTATGTAATAATTAATAAGCTTTAAGCAATTTTTCTTAAGGAAAAATTGCTCACGATTTAATTAAAGATTCGATCTTTCAATTTCTAATAAACGTACAGACAATTCAAACTGTAATTAAATTTTCCTATAAGAGAAATTTAATAAAAAGATTCATGCTGAATAAGGAGAATAGACAAATAAAATAAAATTACCGCTGCGCAAAACAAAATTTCAGATTGTTAAAAGTGCTTAAAAATTTTTCTTTTTAACTTGTCTATGATTTTTTCTTTTTTCTAAATTTATAAAATGATTACATCGAACAAAAAGCCATCCGGACTTAGATGATTAGATCTACTTTCAATGTACGTTTACTACCAATTTTCGGAAGACATATGCTTTATTACACAATTTTATTCGCCCGAAACGGGAGATTGTTATCTATGATTAATATTATCCAGTAAATCCTAGATAACACTGCCTATCAAATAACCTGACAATTATCACAAGCTCGCGAGATTTTTCTAGTTCGTTCGATAAGGCTCATTTTTCCAATGTCATCCGCTTCATATATAAATTACGAATGTCAGAAAGCATGCTACGTATGTAATTGTAAAGATACTCGAACCCCGCAATACCGCGTCATCCTCCTAAGTCTGATATTGACGATTGTCCTGACGTCTAGAGAGATCACGAATCGAGGATGATGGAAACGTACGGTTTTTTTTTATCAAATTTATCCTCGCAGTTTTGGATTTCAACAATGACGGCGGCGTGAGTGATCTCCAAGGTGAAACAAAACAGAAAAAATAAACAATTTATCGAGCATTAAAAACGCATTGTACTATTATAAATGTATACATTTGTGTTATATATATACATCCGTGCTTCGTCTACATAATAATTTTCATATACTTTCGTAATGAGGAGAAACTCGAATAGTTATTGCTTTGAAATTTTACTGCTTAAGTCATAGCGCGTGGGAGTATATTTCCAATATACGGTGAGTGCAAGAAGTATTTGTACAGAGAAAATATCTTTTTTAACTTATTTTTAAAAAATAAACATTATCCATTAAGTTAAACCAGTTTGACCACCGAAGCCTTACTAATATTCTTCGCGATATAAATTAATTATTTACAGATTTTTAATATGTCATTCATAGATTTTAATATGTCATTCAACATTATTAAGATCCAAGATGCTATGAGCATTAAAAATTATTAAATAGCATATAATTGATAGATAACTTAACTCGGTGATATTATTATAATGAAATTTCGTAGAGTAGCGTTTCAAGACCGAAAAATTGTTTGGCGCGTGGTTTAAAAGACTACGTAAGTAAGATATAAATTCATACGAAATTATAATAGCACCTAAGATTCAGTTCGATCGTTAAAGGGAATTTCTTATGGTTGTGTTTCTCACAACGGGGTTCTACAAAATTTAGTATAAAAATAAAAAGTCATTTAATGTATCAGTATTTCATTATAAACAGGCATTACCTTCTACTAATGCGTGATTAAGTTTGTAAAATTCGTATCAACTCAGCATATAATCGTAGTAATGTGGACAATAAACGGAGTGTTTATCAGATAGAGTCGTCGTCTCGTGGCATCCGTTCTCAATGCTCGTCCATCGGTTTCAAAGTATGAATTATGCATTTCGCGAGAACATCGATATTGCTTCTGAACAGAAGACGTTCGAACCACACTATTACAGTAAGAAAAATGATTTATTGTCTCCTCTCTCTTTAAAAAACTTTCAAACTTATGTTGTGACTGAGATAATTGAAGAACGTATCAGGAAAGGCTAATAATCTGTAATCGAGTCTATAATATGTATAATATAATGCTTTTTTTATATTCGCTTTATATGCACATTAATAAATATATACTCGTAAAAAAAACATTAATATCACAGAAAAACATATTAAATTTCTGTATCATATTTAAAAATCTTATATCTTTATGCAATAAAATTTAATTAAATTTAATTATTTAATTAAATTTAATTATTTCAGAATAGTTATGCTAAAAATAAAAAGGAGAAACAAACTAGAGATGGGAACCATTACTCTATTACTCTTACCATTATTTTTACTTTCTAATATTATTACTTTCAAATCGAAATATCAATTATCATGTCTGAAAGTAAAGATTTCAATATTTAAAGTGTCTTTTAAAAAAATTTTTTTAATCATTTTTGACTAACGATTATTTCTTAATAAAATAATATCGAGAATATGATATGGAGGACGAAATTATTTCAGAATAGTTATGCTAAAAATAAAAAGGAGAAACAAACTAGAGATGGGAACCATTACTCTATTACTCTTACCATTATTTTTACTTTCTAATATTATTACTTTCAAATCGAAATATCAATTATCATGTCTGAAAGTAAAGATTTCAATATTTAAAGTGTCTTTTAAAAAAATTTTTTTAATCATTTTTGACTAAATTACACTCTCTTGAAATTTTGCCTATTTTTGGGAGGTAGGATGACGCTTTAATTTTGTTGTTGAGTGTGTATATCGAATTCTGCATATCGCTCACCGAAATCATTTTGACTCTTGAAACGCAATCATGAACAGAACTCATAATATCATATAAATTACTCGACAAACAACTTTAATCATTTCTTTATATTAATAAGCATTTTAAAAGGCTATATATTAAAAAAAATAATTTGAAAATTTTATTCATACCCTTCTAAGATGCTTATTAGCACCACAAACTTTTTAGCTGCAAAAAAAATTACACTCTACATACGATGGGTCTTATATGTATTAAAATAAATTTCCGAAACATTCTTGTCGAAAGATACGCGCAGGAATTAAAGATTTCGTAACATTTTTAATAAAACAAATCCTAATGCAGCAATGGTGCGTGCATCTGACACAAACGAAATTGTTTTCCAAATCTTGACACAATTCACGTATAATCATTTTACACTCCAACGGGACTTTGAAGCTCTTATAACTGGTTTGTCGCAACCTCTTTTCTGTTTCTGCAACAATTCTCAGTGACATACTGCCGCTTTTATCAGACACGAAATATGCCTTGTAGATGAAGCTATTTTTAGGTAATATTCCTATAGTCAAATTCAATTTAGCAAATCTATGCTTACTCATTACAAAGACTTATTAAAATTGTTGAACAAACATATACAATATAAGATATGTACGTGTGTATGATATTTATTATAATATTTAGAATATTTATATAAAATTTGTAAAACATTTATTAGAATATAAATATCTAATACGCGTGCGCACACAAATTTAGTATTTTATATATTAATATCTAAAATACTTTTTTTAAACTGTCTCGTGTCTACCTCTTTTAAAAATAATAAATAAATAAGTTTCCTATTACTTAAATGTCATTTAGAGACTTTCTGCAGATCATTGATTCTAATGGATCGTGCAATATCATCCAATTAATAACTCGATGACAAGTATAGGTAGAGTAAATGTCAATACTATCTCATACAATAGATATCGCTAAATTGAAGAGTTTTATTTCGGAAATAATAGAAGAATTCATCGAACCGTATAGTAACACGTGCGGCAGATCAGTCGTAGTGTTTCTGG